TAAGAGGGCCGGTGTTTAGGAATTCATCGAACAAAAACTCGCTACTAAATTGGATTCAGATGGTTAGAACACGTTCTGCGTGTGTCCAACAGTCGCCTACCGCACTATGCTTTATTTGCAGACTAGAGAGAGCCACGTGGAGGTCAGCAAACAAGGCATAAAAGCTCAACGTTAACCTGAGAATTCTCGCAGTTTGCATTTGAAATGGATTGGGATCAGCCACCACCGTGAGAACGGGTAGGATTTTCCTCGAGGCGTCTGGAGACGTAATCGTCAGGGTACCGAAAAGAGAACGGCAACTTGGTTTGCGGAATTTCTCTATCGGCGCCCAAATAACCCCGATCCTGTAAATATGACTAAACAGTGATCGACTCCATGCATACCGCACGTTTCTCTCTTTTTCAATCCACGTTTGACAGGTACTACCAATAAAGACTTGTACTGTTTGCAACTGTCTTTTAATTGCGACCGTTGGGATACGTATTGTGGGACCAGATTCATTGATAGTTTTGGTGAGACATAACCGTAGGTGTCTTTTCTCCTTCGGATTGGGGTCCAGAAGACTCCGTAACTGGAGAGTTGGAAACACTGAAGGTCATGGCAGCAAACCAACAGCAAAGGTAATCCTGTCAATTCTAATCAGACCATAGTTCTTGAAATAGTGTGCGTACAGTTGGACTGTGTCTGCTGAACACAGAGGTTCACTTTCTTTCCCCGTCCCTAAAAGTAGGCCCAATCCCTATCCTCGTTGCACATTTTCACTCATCTTGTATGCATTATGAGTTTAGCAGCGGTAGGTGAAGTTTGCTTCACTGTACTCCGCTGTATAATGTATATAATGTGTGGAAGACTGTCGTTCGCATTGATCTTCCTACTATCAAATACTTGCTTGTGCTAAGTTGTTTATGCAATTCGGTGGCCACGAAGAAGTGAGATGCAAACAGTTTGACGTTGCCGAGCTTTCTGACACAGCCGTGCTGGTTGACTATAACAACTAGTTGGCTTCAGGGCTAATTGCTGTCTCACCAAGGGGTGTAGAACAATACTGAACAGCTATTTGAAAGGTAATGTACTCAACCAGTCTACACAGTTATGCCTTAAGTGTAATCCCTCTTTCCACTAAATGAATAATTCGGTGATACTTGGCAAAAATACCAAGCGTCTTTCAACCACAAATTTTCTCATAACTGTAACAGGCATACAAAACAACATTGTGACCCCAGGATGAAGGGATAAAGCTGAAAGAGGTGGAATGGGATCAATGAGTGAGGACCAACAATCCAACAATCGATCATTAATCATAAATATGATACACGAACCAATAATTAAAGTGGAAATAATGAGAAAGTGGGAAGATGGATCAGAACCAAACGATTTGTACAATGGGAGGGATGAAAATATGGATTTCATTTGTGTACGGATATGATTAAACAAATAGTTGTGGAATATGGGGTGAAATGCATGTATGAACATGCTTCACGGGAACGAAATACATGTTTGTCAAGTCCACCTGTAAACCTGCTACATTTCATACAGAGCATGAGAGAGAGAGAGAGAGAACAGAACTAACAAACACGTGACTGAGCACGGACCGAGGATGGGGGGGGGGGGATCGGAAAAGTAATAATGATGAACATGGACAGATATCCGAGGTGAACGAATGTGATATAGGCTAAGGATGGGAGAAAACAACTCCAAATGCAAGGACCCTGGGTTGGATAGAGTACCGGATTCCAAGCGAATCCGCCACCCCATCTAGTGGGCCACGTGCACGAAGCAACACGAGCAGCATCCCGAGTTTGAGATGCCCTGATAGAAGTTGCTTCGCCGGAAGCACTTGAGGTGAGTTTGGAATGGGAGTGGGTGCTCCTCGTGGATAAATGTGGCGAGCCAGATGGGTTTGAGGAGGGCAGCACTAACAGAACTGTGAACAGAATATAAAAGGAAAATAATGTTACGTCTAAACAAACAGCTATGAACAAGTCATTGAGACTGTTTTTGCCAAACCCATTTGTGCACACAAACCACGGACTATAAAATGTAAAGCGATGAACCAAAAATGAGTGTTTTGGCCGTTTCCAACAAATGAGTAGATATAAAAAACACTGGGTTGGGACGATCGATAAAAATTTTCCAGTCCTCATTCATAAGTTTCACGCAAATTTAGATTCGTGATAAATTTCAGACAACCGACTTGCTGAATTGCATGCTGAGTTTTACCGCTACCACCCCACTTCCAGGTGGCAGCTCAAAAATGTACCCCTAATCGAGAGGTAAGTGTTCGATTAACAGCAATCCTCCTGCATCATAATAGATATAGTTGTTGTTCTCCAAATGCATTAACGTTAAGGTGATTAGCGATAAGTGGGTATGACATTTAACTGACACGAAGCTGCATCATTGATGCTTTACTCTTCGCCAAATCCCAGAAGACAGACACTCCCTTCGTAGACCTATAATTCCTACATTCCCCGATCTGAAAGCAGCTTTCGACTCAGTCGACCGCTCTAAACTCTGGGGCCGCTTCGCTCTGAAGGTTGTACCCGAAAAATTTATTTCAATATGTCAATATAAAGAGGGTTTTCGATAGCTGTCACTCTGAAAATGCATTCGCGGAAGTCATATTGTTCACAGATTAAGGGTAGTAGATCTCGCTTGAGGTTGGGAGTAGACAACGGTTATACCTCATTCAATATTATTTTTGCACACTTATGCAGTTCCTGAATGGGTCAAGACCAATGTCGAATACATTCAATTACCACCCAACATTTGGGATTTGAAAATAACCGAAAACCTTCTCCTGTGTTAGAAACAGGGATAGGTTAGCGGCCTCGACAGTGGTTAAGGTGTGGTATGTATTAGAGGAAACTGGCAAATTCTGTTGGAGTCACCTGGTGTACTCCATGCAGTGATTACCACCAGTGTTCACAAAGGAAGAAGGGCAAATAAAACATGAACGAGATGAAAGTACAATACCTGTATCAAATCTATGGGGTATTTTGATAAATAAATTCAGTTTTTGTTTCTTATTATGGCTTTGTTATTTTAGAACTGATGCACCAGCAATCACCGTCAAAGTCGAGAAATCGTACATTTTTATGGCATTCCACTAACAGAAGCAAAGACACAAGTGGATATTATATCAAATATGTTGCATCTGTTGTGAGGCAATTTCACATTCAATCCCGTGAATGAGGTTCTAAACACTAAGCGTTAGGAGGAACAAATGTGTTGCACCAGTTTGATCAGTATCTGTGTGCAGGAATAAGGAGCGTTTCAAGGGTAGGGTTGAAATGATCTTTGTAGGACTGAGTCATTCAACGAAACTCGAGCCGACACAAGAACATAGATGGCATTAAAAAAACAGTACTTGCTGACGTTCACCTGCTGTAAAAACCCCGACAAAGATATTCAGTTTTTCTGCTATACATCTTACTTCTGTAAAAAACGGCATGTTTCATGGATCAATAGCAACAACTAAAACTATATCATGTGCATATGAAAGAATAAGGTGACCAACATCAATCTGCGTCTCCCGGTCCTATCGAAAAGCAATGGGACTCAGTGAATGCAAAACCATAAATAGAGAATTAGAGAAACAACTCACCTTCCACCGATGTCCACAATTATTACAGAACACAAACGTGGTCATGGGTTCATCTGCGCTTCTGGTTTGAACCTACATAAGTGGTCACGGAAGGAAATTGGTTGTCAGAAAAATATACAAGAGTCAGTAAGATTTTTGAAGTACTATTGTAATAGTCAAAAGAAAACCATAATAGCAAACGGAAAAAAGTATAACTCTGTGAGAAGCAAAAAAGGTATTGAAAATGGAGATGATAACAGACAATCACTCATGCCCCCCACCCATCCCGGTATATATATATATATATATATATATATAGATGCGCAGTCCCGGTACGGATCACTTGCCTGATTGTATGTGCATTTGGTTTGTTTGCACTTTCCACAACGCAGGAGATCGGTTTCCGTGCCCCCGGTTACAGTCATTTGATGATCTTCAATGGTTTCTTTCGTGTACTTCTCTCGCAATTCCTTCATTTCTTTGCTGGCCATTTCCTGTGGTAACGCGGTAGAAAAAGAGGGGAAGCAAATAATGAGGAGTATGTGGAACGAGGGCTTCCAAAAACAAATCTTTGTGAATGTTAGTGAAGACAGTATCATTTATATTGTTTACAGGTCAGCTGAGCAACCTCAAAATTTTTTCCAAACAGTCAAAAGATGCTTTAACAGACAACGTAATACATGTGTGGTTGCACAACAAAGAAATATGAAGTGTGTGCATGAAGAACAAACTAGCATCCCTTAAACTCCAGCCAGGAAATAGAGAAGGGTCTGCCCAAAAAAAGCCCGCTGGATGTGTTTTTTTTCATCGCGGGCGCTAGGATGGACATTCCCAGGTTTTCTACCACCATTGTTCAGAGCGTGCAAATTAAACATATAGTGAAAGTGTAGCGCGACACTACTCACATTTTTAGTGTAGCATGTTAAACGAGTGCATGAAGAGGTGGTTGGCGGATTCTCACGGAATTCGACAATGAACAGAACATCCGGTAGCAAATTTATAACAAAAATAGAGAGGCTTTCTTGACATATGAGCTAGCCACCGGAAAATATGTAGTGATACCGTTATTTCAATAAAAAGACTATCAAAACCTAAATTCCACAGGAGTACTCAAACGTTCCTTATACGTTGTTCCAACCGGAAGCGAGTAATGTTACGACAAATATGGTTCTTCATTACAGGTAGACGATGAGTATGTCCAGCGTTCAGGGCCAGGAATCGTAACCACACAGCAATACGACAAGTACAGTTACATTTTAGATTCGTCCTTTTAGAAAAAGGCAGGTATCACGTTCG